TATTTTAATAATAAACTTTTATATTACACAATCTTTAAACTTTAATTAATTAAAAGTTTTTTAATAAAATTAAAAAACTTTTTTAACTAAGTTTATAAAGTAGAATTTTAAAAATGTTTTTTATTTAAAAAGTATATTGCTAAAATTAATTGTTAAAATTTTATTATAAAAATTAATTTTTTAAAAAAAAATACAGATAAATTTGTATGCAATACAATTTAAAAGATAAGTATATAAAAAAGCTAATCAAAAAAGGTGTAATAATTTAGTAAAATAGATAAGTTATTAATTCTTTCAGTAGTAGATTGAATATTCAAATCCTATTAACAACAAAAATTTGAATAATTACCTATATAATACTAATGTTATAATAATTGTTTTTAATAATTGGGTTAAGATATTTGTAATAACAGTCATACTAATATGACTAGTAAGTTATAGAATATCTGTATAAATATGATATTATACAGAAAAATGCAAACTAAAATCAGGTAATGCAAACTCTAAATAAACTTTGTAATTATGTAAAATTGTTAAAATTAGAAAACAAGAAATCTATTTAGAAAATTCAAGTAAAAATGTAATATAGATTTTTAATAACACTACTGTAAAAGTTAGACTATTAAATACAAATACTAATGTCAAAGTATTTAAATAGGTACTACCAACCAAGTCACCAAAATAAACTAAAAGAAAAGAATATCATATCAATCTAATATACCAATAGACTGATTATAATTCTATATAATCTATTTAAATTAAAAGTCTAAAAAATAAGTAGAAGTATATTAAAATACTAGAAATATGCTGTAAAATATTTGTAATTTAAATAAACTCTGCAAGAGTATAGCAGTTTAATGACTAATCCTGACCACAAGTAGTAATTCTGTTATAATGATACTTAGTTTAACTGTAAAAATAAATATAAAAGGTTTATCTTGAAAATAAAATAGTTCAAAAGTTAAAATAATGATCTGAGCATAACTCAGTAATATTAATACAAGTTCAGGTTCAAAAGGTTTAAAATAGAATATTCAAGCAGGAATATTAAGTATAGCAATTGGTAAAGAATCTTCAGGTAAACTTTTTAAATAGGTAATATAGAAAAGTTACATGTGTAGCCAATTATACACACTTTCTATAATGGTTCATAGAATTACATTACCAAAAAAATTATTAATAAAAATCAAAAGACCTTTAAAAAAAAAAACCAATCAAAAATACAAAATCTAATAATATAAATTTTTAAATTACAAAACCATCTTTTAGGTTCTAACCAAAAAAATTCTTCACAAATTTTATTGCTCTACCTTAACCATAACACTATCTAATACTAACCAAAATGAGTTTTACTTTTTTAAAAAATAAACTTATTGTTAGGTGGTTTGTAATTAATGTCACGGATAATTATGAAATCGGATTATAAAATTTGGAACTATTTTGTGTATCGGTATGATTTTTAAAAATTTTTAGGGCCTTTTTTTGTCAGCTTTTTTTTTTATAGTTGAGTTAGGATTTAGGAATAGATTTATTAATAAAAAGTATAGATGGATTTTGGTAAGGCTTATATTTTCAAATTGAGTCCCCAAAATTTCACAATGATCCAATTTCATAATAATCCACGACAGTTAATACTTGTACACAATACACTGTGTAAACTAAAAATTTTTTTTTAAATAATAAAAAATTTTTGGATTATAGATATAAAGTATATATCGTGTCTCGATCGGGTCAAAGTTAGGGTAAAAGTTTGGGTATAATTTAGGCCAATCAATATCAATAAATTAATGCTGGCTAAAAATTCGACACCCGAGGCAAGCGTTAATCTGAAACACAACGTATAAATTTCCATATAATAAAAATATTAGATCAGAGCTTTTGACTATAAAAAACAAATGTATAATCTAGATAGCAGCTTTTACTACGTAGCCATTTAGATTTTACCCAGTTCTATCGCTATCGCTATATAAAATATTTTTTTAATCTATACATAAATAGCTTAACCTGTTTTCTCTTAAATACTACAATATATTTTATTGTTATATCAATTTCCAAAGAAATTTGTATGTGGATTAAAGAATAATACATCGATCAGGTTTTACAAACTATAACATGATTTTAGCCAATCGAAAATTTTGTTAATCAGCCAATGAAATTATGCTCGATGCACTGCACTGGCTGTGAATTATAATTTCTTTTAAAAAGCAAACAGGTTAGCGTTAGTATTTTGTACTTATTCCTTAATATATTGTGACCTATTTAATGATCCAGTTTACTTTAAAAAAAATAAATAACACCGCAGAAAGTGCAGAAAGTCCTCATTTTTGATACTGTACATATAAAAACTTTATTCCTTTTTTTGCTTTTTTTACTGTAATATATGTTATACATAACGCCCTCTGAAAAAAAAAATTTTTTCAGCATGTTGATATGTTGTAATACTTGATTGCAGTCTATGCTGTTAGTCGCAGACTCTATTTTTAATTGATATTTGACACTGTAATGAACAATTAAAATTGAGAATTCTAAGATTTACTAACATTAATAAATCAGTAAGTATATCGAAATCTGGTATGTCGACAATATAATCGATGCATTCTCGTAAGAAAACCTTACGGGCCTCAATTGTCTGGGATGTAAAGACCTTGTACAAGTTTGCTTATTTATGAGTTGCACCTGTGTGATAGTAGATTCACGTCGTTGTGAAAAGAGGCTTTGGCACGTCTCCTCATTGGGCTGTTAGTGTCACCTAGAACAAGTATAACATGTGTAAATGTATTGTTTATAAATATCATCATTACGCAGTTTTTTGGTCTAACACTGTCAACTTTTTTTTTTTCTGTCTTTGCAGTGACGAGAAACCGAAACCCTCGTTTGTGATCAATATTAATAAGAAAATTTAACGCTAGTTTCTTGGTTGCTATAAACTTGCGTTCTATTCTTAAATAAATATAATAAGAATAAAAAGCAAGACAGTGTATTCAAATCTCTTTCTTTTTCATTTGACTACGCACGGGTATTACCTAAAGAAAAACGACACAGCCATGCCTCGTAAACCGACAAGAAAAGTTACTTCTCGTCGTGTGACCACAAACACTTCTGTCGTTCAACCCACTCTTCACACAACGAATCTAAACTCTCAAATTCAAATACCAACAACTCACTCCACAATTCAAATTCCAGCGCCACTGCTTACGCCTCAACAACAGTTAAATATTCATGATGCTTTATCTTATCTTGATAAAGTAAAAGCTTCGTTTCATGATGACCCAAGAGTTTATAATCAATTTCTTGATATAATGAAAGATTTCAAGAGTAGAAATATTGATACCCAAGGCGTTATTACCAGAGTAACAATATTATTTCGGGACCATCCGGCATTGGTTCAAGATTTCAATACTTTCTTACCACCTGGCTATCAGATCGTATATCTAATGGATAAAGAAGACGACCCGGATTCAGTTAAAGTTGTTACACCTTATGGTGATAGATTCGTTTATGTTGGTGATAAACGTAGGGATGAAGATGGATGTCACATGGATCATTGGTAATGAAGTGAATGAAAAGATTTAATGATTTGTTTCCTACAAATCTACCAATCACTTTGTATACTATGAGGTGTAATCTTTGTATTTCGTTCAATTCGCTCAAGTTTTGCTAGTCTTATTATACTCTCATTTGGTTCGTTTTTGATAGCCTTGCACATTAAGTATTATTAGCCAAGTAGCCTCGTTATTTCCTTAAAACAAATCAATTAGATGTATGTAAATTTTGCTTATTTGATTCACATTTCTTTGATCTTTTAAGAGAAAATTTTTGAAAATCATGGTTTTCATTGAACTGATAAATTTTTTTTACAATAATTAGAAAATTGGGTGTTCAATTTATTATTGATAATAAGTTTTGGCTTATACAAAATTTTAAATAAACCGGAAATTTTAATAGTAATGTCTTTATTAAAAAAAAAAAAACCTTATATAACGTCTATTTAATTTTAAAATAAGGCTGAGCATTAGACTCGTTAACACATGGTGTAAGAGTAATTCGCATCTAAATTAATTGCCTGGCACTAGCATAAGAGAATTTCAATTTATTGGTTTTTTATTCCTATTGAAAAGGCGTAGTATTTACGATATAATTTTTAACCGAAACAATTTTCATAAACTATCTAAACTTTATATTTTAGAAGCATGTTTTCAATATAAGTGTTCGGGATCATTTTTTACGGGCAATCCCTAAAATTCTAGGAGGTACTCATTGAAGATGGGTCGACATTAAGCAACACTAGTTGACTATGTCTATGGCACTAAAAAAAAATCATGTTAGATTAGGGTAAGGTTAGGAAGAGCTTAATAATAATACCAAAATTTCGCAAGAAAAACGGTGTTACCGATTTTTGGATTTTTTTTCTGCGTTACACCTGATCTTGAAATATGGTTGGCCAGCGAAATTTTTTAGGTTGAAATTCATTTTAATTTTCTATTTCTACCATTGTCATGATAAATTATGTCCAATGGTAGAAACTGTAAAATTTCAAATAGGCGTTCCACTTTAGCAAGCAAAATAATTGGAACAAAACTAACCCCTTTCAAAAAATTTTTTATAGAAATATTAACCCGAATTGGTTAGAATATTATTCAGAAATATGAATCACATGAAAAACCAGCACGTCATGGCACATGCTACATGGATAAACCAAAAGCACATACTAAAATATTTGATTAGAACTAAATTTTTAGGTTCATTTTGTAAATTCAGCAAGATAAATCATTATATATTATGGGTACTTATTTATAATAATTTTTTTTAATGTTAAATATTTGCAATCTAGGCTTTTATTAATAGTATGTTTCAACTTTGTAATTGTATTACAACAGTCACAGAGGCAATTATAAAAAGAGTATACAACTAGTTACTTGTATAATTTTAGTTATTGTTTAATTTAAGTAGTTTATCTAAAGGTTTTACACAAGTAGTTATATATAGAACCTGCTTGTAAGTTTTTTATTTAAACACTCTGGTTTTTGTATCTACTTACTTACCTATCTTATCAACTGTTTTAGTTTTTACTAATATAAATATATTATAATTATTAAGTTTTTAAAGTAATTCACTTATATGAGAAACTTTTAATATTATATTAAACCTATCAGAATTTACTGTTATTTAATTTTTAGTTAATTTGATATTTTGTTTAATCAAGATTAATATTTGTAATTAGGATTAATTGTTAAATCATTATATTCTTATAGAGTTCATACAATTTAATATTTTTTTATATAATTATTTCTAATGAATTAACAATTCTGATCTTCTTGATATTACAACTTAAATTAGACTTCAACAGTTACAAAACAATCTATAATCTCCTACTAGTATATTATATCATCTCAAATCTATTATAGATAGTTCTAATAGACATTCATTAAATTTTAAAATTATTTAACTTCTCTCTCATCTTAGGTTAATCATCTCAGTTAATCCCAACTTGACTTGGTCTTACATAATTAGTAATAGTAACCAATTACTAGAATTCATTTTATCAAAGTATCCAAAATATTTAATCTTTAAAAAACAATTTAGACAATCAAATATTATGTATCTTAAACAACTCTATATTGCAAATAATAACACTTTATTTGATTGAAAACATCTTTTACCAAGATTATTATACTTACCTAAAGATAAAAAATCTTTCTAGTTCTTTTACTTAGAAGATACAATTTTAACACACTCTTATTATCAAAATATTTTATCATATTATCAATCACTATATTACAACTTTTATATTTATTATATTATTAATACATCTAAAAACTTACTAAATCTAAACTCTAGTTATTCTTATACTACAATAATGAAATTATTATTAAGAAAATACAAAAATATTTTTCATCTTTTAATCACTATTCTATTACTCATTGGACCTCTAATATAGACTTAAATTATACAAGATTCTATTCTTTACTCCCTATCAGCTACAAATAATATATAGAATGTTATCTTAATTCTTATAGAATTAACCAAACCTGTATCATTAAAGTTTCTATAATTATTTCTGTATAATTTCTTAGCAAAACTAACTCAAAACATCAACTTAATCTCAATATCAATTACTTGAATCTTATCTGCTTTACAGTTGTCAACATCCAATTCATATTTCTTCTTTACTTAATATTCCTATTATCAATTCTATTATCTTTGAAATCTTTATTTCAAGTAAATCTATTAACAAACTTATATCTATTTTATATTACAATCTCTTTTATCAGCAATTATTTTTTTATATTGACAGATCTGTAATTAACATTGGTATTGACCAATACATAATAGGTATTGGTTGGATTCAAGTTAATAATAATAATCAAATTATTAATTCCTTCTTTACTAAAATTAAATTCTAACTTTCATTTTACAAAGCAGAACTCTTCTTAATTATTACTACACTCTTAACTGCTCTTTGAAACTGTATTATTAGTATTTTTACAAACTTTCAATTAGTAATTTCTAAATTTAATAATCTTCAACTTAAGTTAATCCATTTTAATAAGTTATTCAAATTTAATTCATAACCAATTTAGTACACTCTTCTAAATATTATTAAATCATACAAATTACAAATTATTTTTCACAAAATATAGACTCATTCAGATAACTATTTTAATGAGCAAGCAGATTCTCTAACTAAACAATATCCACTGTTACTACTTCTTTTATTTAACTACACAAATCTTTATAACCTTTATCATATTTTCTAATAGAAACACCATTATATAGAACTTCCTATAAGGCACTTTATTAAACAAATCTGTAAAACTCACATTTTAGCTATATAGACATTACAAAAACAAAACAGTGAGTAATCATATTTCAACCAAGACATTGATTGAAGATCCACTTGGCTTTATTTTAATCACAATCAAAAATCCTTATACAATATTATCAACTTTAGACTTAATCAACTAAAATTTTTTAAAACAAAAATCCTTCTTAATAAGTTGCCAACATATTCATTATATTATACTATTTATCTAAGCCAATATCTAGACACTACTTGCTTCTTTTATAACTTACTTAATTCTTATTTCCACTGGTGTACTTGTGCTAATCCATCTTTATTCGATCAAATTATTCAAACTTTCACTAATCAAATTATCTCTAATAACTTGCTTAATCTTAATATCTATTATAAACATAACTTAATCAACAAAATTCCTTATCTTCTAGCTCTTAATTCTCTATATACATTACTTAATATTTACTATTTCAACCTTATTTTTAAAGAACTTATTCTAAAGTCTTTTATATTAATAATTCAAAACTCTGATATTTTATACAAAATGGCCTCTCAAGTTATTATTGATATTCTTTTCAATATTAATGAACAATTATATGAGCAACTATGAAAAATATACTGTATCCACTTCTCTAATTGGAAAAATAAACAAAACAAACCTCGATCTTAACCAATTAACTAATCTTTAAGATTATCCAATCCAACTAGAAAATATATATATTCTTGAAGAGATTATACTTACTTATATCTTTGTAGACTTCCTAATCAATTACATTCTTATACAAATATATACTCTTTTATTAGTTAAGCAATTTACAAAATTAACATTTAGTCCATCTTATAAATTAAATATAGAATATCATTAAATTATATATTAAACATCCAAATCTAGGTGAGCTTTGACTATTCTAATAGGTTTAAATTACAGATAAACTAGTCTAAGCTTTTATTCCTGCATATAATTTTCAATTTTTTTGTTTTGTACAAATAGTAGTAGCTATATAGTTAGTAGTTTAATGATTAGTTCTAACTACAAATATTGGCCTTAGCTATAGCATATATATAGGTAATTATTTTAAATTATTAATAAAAATATAAGCAAAACCTTACCTTAATACTAAAAAAAAAAATATATATATTTTTTTTTATAATCTTACTAATATCTTGTATATATTTGCAAATCTTCTTATATATATATATATTAAATATAAAAGTAAGATTATGTCACTATCTTTATTAAAACTCAGTTAAACTTTTTACAAAATAATATACAAAAGAAGTTTATATTTGAATTTTGTATCTATTAGATATTTTTTTTTTTTGGTATTAAGGTGAGGCCTTGCTCGTATCTTTATTAGTAATTTAAAAATTAGTAGCTACATGGAGCTGCTATGTACAAAAAGTAATTTTCTATATAAATGCTATGGCTAAAACCAAC